CCCCCCCCCCCCCCCCCCCCCCCCCCCCAAACACCCACCCACCCCCCCCAAAAAAAAAAAAAAAAACCTGTGGCAAAGTACAAAAACTGAGCTACTAGATCTGGGAATCAGTCCTAGCTCCATGAGCCCATGAGTTCAGGTCCAGTTGTATGATGAGAAAAGTTCCCACTGGGTTAGATGAAATAAAGTTTTTTCTAGCTCTGAAAATTAAAAAAAAAATTCTAAGGATCATTTTAACCTTTACTATGCTATCTACAGGAAGTTTGCTTTTTATAAGTTTGCCTATTCCACCTTTTAAAAGACATAAACCATAAACTGAAGCTTCCTTTTTTTGAGATAAGAGATTGGCTTAGCTCAGGATTGCCCTGAAGACATAAGGATGACCTTGATCTCCTGATCTTCCTGCCTGGGATTCCAGGAACAAGCCAGAAATTCTTACCTTTTTAATTAAGGACTTCAGCCTATAGTTTGGAGCTGTTAAGCAGTATCTATCAGGTGGCAGTCTAGGTCCTGCATATGGCTTAATCAGTGGCAAAGGAGTTTGATTTTTCTGCCTTGCAATATCTAGTAAAAACTAAAAGAAAAATCCTCATTAGAAATATGATTTTTAAAGTGTAAGTAAAAATAACTGCAAATAAATGTTTGCTTACATCTCTTGGGGGAGGAGAGGTAAAAGACTGGTCAGCCCGACACTGGATTGCCAATCTCACATCGTCTGCATCAACAGTAGGTTTCTTAGCATGACTTGAATAAATTTTTGCATCATCCAGAATCGTGGTCACATATCCTTTAAGAGCAAAATAATTTTTTATTACATGAAGACATTAATATATATTAAGACAAGAATCTTAGTATTTATGGCTCCTTGTTTTAAAAGGTTCCACTAGTTTCTGGAACATGTAAGACTTGATTTTAATAAATAATTGTCCTATTCACATGATACTTTATTTAAACAGACATGCTATATATAAATACTACTGTCCCTTAGCTTGAGCTCCTTAGTGCTTTACTCATCTCTAGATTGGTAACAGAATTTGGTTTAAAGTGCTACAATAAATGATCCTTTCTAATTCACAGTCAATTAAAAAGAAACTTACGGAAAGCAAATTCCAACATTTGATTTATAACCCTTGGCTCATACTCTGTGATTCCCATATCCTTCAGGATCTGTGCCATCACCTGTGGATTCAAATAAAAACAAAAAAAAGCAGATGCACAATGTGGTATATTTTTATGTTTGCTACAAAGACCCAAACTGCTCCTCCTTGTACCTTCTGCACACACAAAATCAGTCATATGCTCTTGGTGAAAACTTATTTTAGCAAGGATGGAGTAAAGACACAAGGCCTGGACCAGGTTTCCAGGCAGAGGTAGGGGTGGGTCCAGCTGGCTGTCATTTTCGGATGTGACAGTGAGGGAAGCTAGCATCGGAACCCACGACGCTGTCAGGGCTCATAGACTGGGTGAAGAGAGGAGGTTTCAGAG